TTTGAAAGAAAAACTGACTGGGAAGGACTTGGAGGCTATTTTTTGGCACAATATTAAACAAATATATTATGCCTATTTAATTATTTTACCATTAAATGACATATATATATATATATATATTGTAGACAAAGCATCAATATTAACTGAACTGGGCTTAACGTCGATTTTTTCGTCAGCAATGGTTTATCGTTACTTACAGATAAATTACCTAAATTAAATCACTTATAACAGTGGGTGCACCTGTCTCTCTATTATCCTATGACGTATTTTTTTTTTATACATTCCTAATACTACACCCTGCTAGCTATATTCAACTATCGAAAACGCGCGGAAAGACGGCGACGTATTGTATTGTTACATTCACGTCTGGTCGACGACGCCGTATAGACGGTGTCGGTGACTGTATGCACTTAAGAAACCAGTTTGAATTGAGGGTCGGTTCGTATAAAAGTTCTATGACGTCTTTTTTTTTTTACCCAGAGTTATTTTTTCTACACACTCCTAATTCCGCACCCTGCTAGCTATATTCAACTATCGAAAACGGTCGGAAAGACGGCGGCGTATTGTATTGATACATTCACGTCTGGTCGACGACGCCGTATAGGCGGTGTCGGTGACTGTATGCAATTAAGAAACCAGTTTGAATTGAGGGTCGGTTCTTATAAAAACCACCTGCTACGCTAGGATATAATGATGTATACAATAATATATCGGTTTTCCTGTAGGGTGTGGTAACCGAATAAATGCATTAAACGTACACACATTCCACATTATATAATATATCCTACAGCCTTGTACATAAATCATAACGTCTAGTGGCGTCGGTGTGGTTCGTAAAAAAAAATAATGTAAGAAAAAACGATGACATACTCACATGAGATTGTATATCGTTAAAAAAAAAACACGTTTTTTCTGTCTATCGGTATAAACACCGGCATTATATCAATAACCTGTTTATAACGAACTTAGCTAGGTATTCCCTTCCTTGTAATGGCGTCACAGAAATTATGACATAGGGAGAGAGGGATTAGAGGGATCGTATTGGGTGAAGATGTCCACGTTCACATAACCACGAAAATGCATAAACGCAAGCATATTTTTAATACCTAACTTAATATCGGGTATTCGAGTTTCAGGAAGCGCGTCATAGATGGAACTATGAAAGATGATTACAAAATAAAAATAAACGGCTTGTGTTACAGCCGAGCTCCGTGGCTATAAAGTGTCAAATTCATTGCGCTTGTAAGTTTTTATATCGATATAATAATTTAGTTTCGGAGCGTAGCTAATTTTATTGAAACAAAAAACTTATTAATATTAGATATTAAGAAACCTATCTCTACATATGTGATTGGTTTTAGTTGGAGATATCAATTACTTAAATAATATTAAATTTGATTAAAATATTAGATACATCACCCATAGGTGATGCTATATNTAAGGTGTCCGTATTCACATAACCACGAAAATGCATAAACGCACGCATATTTTTAATACCTAACTTAATATCGGGTATTCGAGTTTCAGGAAGCGCGTCATAGATGGAACTATGAAAGATTAGTAAGATAAGTAAGAAAGATTAGAAACCATTAGATAGGTGATGCTATATGGTGTATAGTGTTGTATAAGATATAAATATAATATATAGGTTAGAAATACAGTAGCATATTTCAATTCTATTTGTTTGGTTCAAATTTGTTTATTTCAGATTTATCACAAAAGAACTGTAACAATCATAACATGAAACCCCTTTACAATTTTGGGTTGTCCCATGAGCCGGGAACTCTCCCATTTCCCCTGAAAATAGGCCACATACCTATATAATAATATTGTAACTATAAACAATTTATAACATAATATTATACACGTATTAAGTAGGTATTCTGTTTAGAAAATATATCAACGACTTACCGATATACTGGTAAGATGATAGGCAAAATGCATTTAAAATACATTGAAGTAAACATTTTTAATTTTTGCGTCCGGATGCGACGCACGTCTTAATCACGTGTTTGAATGAGCCCTTATAAGATCACAATATGTTTAATTTTAGATGAGGTTAATTAATCGAGAGGTAAATCAAACATAATTGCGGCCGATCGAAACGCGTAGTTTGCAACCAATTTTATTCACTAAAGAAATAACTTTTTCTTTTTTTCTTTCAGAAAGGTGTCACGCGTATATATATCGGAGCGAGATTTCTGGTAGAATTTTTGTACACAGTATAAAAAATATAAAATAATATAATAACAAAATATACATTTTTGCAAAACAAATATATATTCTTCGTTGCACTCATAATCTACAAACTACAAAATGTAAATACCTATTAATTGCTGATAAATCGCCAAAATGTTTTACACGTTTTATTATTTCTAGAAAAATAATAGATACATTTCTGTCGTAATTTGATGTCTTTCCAAATGTTTTTTTTTTTCTAAATTACAAAATAAAAACCAAAATTTAAAATAATAAAATAGTAACGCCGTAAATTTTCATTTAAATTATTTTTCCGGTGTTTCCAATTTCTTAGAAATATTGTTAAGAAAATTAAAAATTCATTTACATCGCCGTCAATTAGATCCAATACACAAAATAAAGTTTTCTTGACGTTTTTTTGATTACACTAATATTTCTGGTTGAAAACGTTAAGTAAAAATGAAATCCAATGAAATCTGTAACGACGTCGCGTGCCTTAAATATTTGTTTTTCCTATACGTTTTATTCTGGTTTTTCCCATATATTTTGAAACTTATTTGGGAACCTAAGAATGACCATCTTAATTGCATCAACTAGATCCAAAATGCAACAAACAATTCCTTTGTCATTTTTCGATTAAAGCATAACTTCTTATTGAAAAGTAGATACAATAAAACCAATAGATCCCTCAATGCCATTTCCAGTCTGAATTTAAAAAGACGTCTAGGATTATAGGGACGGGTGTAGCAAATGTTATAAGTAATTTAATGTATACTTGTAATTAACGTTATAAACTATTGCTTACGAAAAAACGATTCTGAGCGGAGTTCAGTTGATGCTTTTTCAACAATATATTTGCCATATCATAGTAAAATAATTAAATAGGCTCTATATATTTTCTTTAATAATATTTATTTAATGTTGAACCAATTTTCCTAGTTTTTCACATTTGCTGAGAAAATTTCGGGGAAAATGGAAAAACAACCTCTATAAAGTACCTCCCCAGTGAAATTTATTTTCAGAAACATTATAATTAATAAAGTTGGTGCAAAACTTTTGGTGGAAAAAGAAGATCGTATTATTTTACAGATATATTTTGAACATTATCCCATTTTTTTTTTTACCGTTTTTAGCATTTGATGAGAAAATCAATAAATGGCCTCTTTAAGGTACCTCCCCACATCGATTTCCTTTCAGAAAATTTGCTACACGTAAAAATCGGAGCAAGTCGTCTGGTAGAAGTTATTCACAGAAAAAAAAAATAATAATAATCATTATTGAATATAAAATAAATAATCGTAAGTATAGTCCGTTTAATGGCCGTATTGGCATAATGATAACTTTTCGATTATTTCATTTATCACGGGAAACACCGTGCGTAACAGCAGCTAGTGTATTGTATTATACTGGGTCTTCTGGGCAACATGTTAAATATTATATAAACTCCTGGGATAAAAGAAATATGTATAATATAAATTATAAGTCACGTTGAATATTTTTCTGGGGAAACGATGTTCGAATACACCGCAATGATGTACGTAAAAAAAATAACCATTAAATATGTACAATAAATNGCTAGTGTATTGTATTATACTGGGTCTTCTGGGTAACATGTTAGATATTTTATAAACTCCTAGGATAAAAGAAATATGTATAATATAAATTATAAGTCACGTTGAATATTTTTCTGGGGAGACGATGTTCGAATACACCGCAATGATGTATGTGAAAAAATAACCATTAAAAATGTACAATAAATATATATTATTACGATTGGTTAGGTTATACACGGTTCACAGAATGACTCGTATAAATAAAGCCGTTGTTAACATCGGACGACCCGCGGTTATGGGGTATGTTCGGTCGAGCATGACCNTTGAATATTTTTCTGGGGAAACGATGTTCGAATACACCGCAATGATGTACGTAAAAAAAATAACCATTAAATATGTACAATAAATACATATCATTACTAGAGCCCGGATTTATTTGCATTTAAAAAGTGTCAAATATGATGCAAATATGCAAATGGAAAGTGGCTAAATATTCAATTATATGCATTATGTTAAACTTTATAAAATGAGTTTATTTAAAAAAAAAAACACATTTTTACACCAAAGTAAATTCTGTATATTTTATCAAAAACAAAAAAAAAAATGAAAATATCCACTGCTATATAATAAATCATTTGAAATTACTCTAAAAAATAATAGAAACCTTAAAAAAAAATACAAATATTTTAAAATAATATTTTTAAAAATTAATAAATAACAATAGGTTTACATTTTAAAACTTCAGAACAATATAATTAAAATATTAAAATAGGTTCTTTTAATGATTTTCATAACAGTGGACAATAATATATTTTTCCATATTTTCTGGTGTCATTGAAGTTCTTTTTTCAGTTAGAATTGATTTATACGTATTAAATGACCTTTCAACATCCACCAAAGTTATAGGTGCAAACTTCATACATGAACACATAGAAGGAGTTAAGTTTGGTGGCATGATACTGTTTTCTTTCCCTGACAAAATTGCTGTTATCTGCTTCGCGGTTTGGAATCCAACATTTTTTTCAATTAAATAAAACAATTTTTCTTGAATTATTTTTCCTTTTTGTCCTGGTACTTTTTCCATCGCCAAAATAACATTATTTACAATTTGAGTAGAATCAGACAAAGTTAAACTAGAATGTTCCAAATTTTTTATACTTTTTACTAGTATAAAAAAATGAGATTGAATAAATGTAAGGTCACTTTTAACAGATTCCAGACTTAGCATATTAATACATTTTTATATACTAACAACATTTTTATCTTCTAGTTTTTGTAAAATTATTTTAAGATTATCAAAATGATCTGCACAAAAATTAGCTGCTTCAACCCATGTCCCCCATCTGGTTAGTACTGGTTCTGGCGGCAAGGGCACACTGGGCATTATTTCTTTGTATACATCTACTCTCTGAGGTGCTTTAAGAAATACTTTTTTTAAATTACTTACCAAAGTATTTACATTGGGGTACATTTCTCTAACTTTTTCTGCTAGACGTTGGATCATGTGAGCAAGACATGAAATGTGTATCATATTAGGAAAAAATACGTTTAGTGTTTTACCAGCTTTGATCATATATGGCGCTGCATCGGAACATAAAAGTAATACTTTTTCATCATTCCCACCATGAGGCCACAATATTCTTAGGCTGTCATTTACAAAGCGAGAAATCGTCGAATGATTAGTTTTATCTAATTTTTTACATGAAATTAAAAATGGTTTGCTAGCATTTTGTTCATTTAACACACCAACTAAAAGGTTTGCAATATAACTACCATTGATATCTGTAGTTTCATCAACGACTAAATATATATACGAGTCCCCAATTTTTTCTCTAATTTTTTCAATTGTTTTTACATAACATGGATGTAAGAAAGACTTAGAGTGCGTAGAGTGCTTTCATCAGGAATGTTGTTCTTTTGTATAATTTTGTAAAAAGTCGCGGAAGACTGGCTTTTGTAGTTTAAACCAAGGTATATTTGCAGCTACGAGGCTCAAACACAGATCTTCATTAAAACTTGATGTTTTTGGTTTGGTTTCATCTCCCAACAACATTTGTTTACTGTTGTTAGAACTTTTTTTCAAACATTTCAAATGANGGCCGTATTGACATAATGATAACTTTTCGAATATTTCATTTATCACGGGAAACACCGTGCGTAACAGCAGCTAGTGTATTGTATTATACTGGGTCTTCTGGGCAACATGTTAAATATTTTATAAACTCCTGGGATAAAAGAAATATGTATAATATAAATTATAAGTAACGTTGAATATTTTTCTCGGGAAATGATGTTCGAATACACCGCAATGATGTATGTGAAAAAATAACCATTAAAAATGTACATTAAATATATATTATTACGATTGGTTAGGTTATACACGGTTCACAGAATGACTCGTAAAAATAAAGCCGTTGTTAACATCGGACGACCCGCGGTTATGGGGTATGTTCGGTCGAGCATGACCGAAAGCTGACCATCTGGTTATTCGACAATTGTTTATTATAAACCGAACCATCCCCAATACCACCGCTTTTTGGTGGGAGGGGGATTAGAAATATCGAGAAGAATCTTTTGTACGTGATTTTTCGGGACAATAAGTTAACGTAGTGTAATTATATCGAACGCCGCACATGTGCGTACCAATATATTATTATAAATACTTAAAACGCACAAACGTTAAATACATACAAAAACACAAAAATATCAAATATCTTTAAATAGCCATAAAATAGATAAAATGTTGTAAACATTTTATAAAAGGCCAATATAATTATTTTATAAAAACTACAGGTCCCTACAATAATTTTTAACCGAATAACAACAAAAAACCCAAATTCCGTAAACCATACTGTATTTCATACGTGTTTTCCCGGTTTTTCATAGCTCTTCAGAAAACTATACGGAAAATCACAAAACGAACTTCTTACTCGTACAGTAGATCAACTTTTGATATTCTTGAAATCCGGACAAAGATTTCTGGTAGAAAACTACAATGTTAAAAATTTTAAATAATGAAATCGTTGTGCTGTAATTAGAAAAAAATCGTATTTTTCGTCTTTTTTGGGTTTTCTCAATTAACGTATAAACAAACCTAAATAGTAGTGGTAATTTTGACGGTATTATTATTGCGTGATCTGCTTGTGAAATCCCACGAAGTATGCGATTTTCAATTAGTGACTGTGTATCGTTTTCCGATCACCGTTGAATACGCGTATACCGATAGCGTAGGTATAATATTATTCTTATTATTAAACCTAAATAACGAATAAAATAGAAGACCGAGAAGAAAAAGCAGAAGACGTGTCGGCGTTTGTGTATACTACCTGCAGTAACATTCCAATCATACGCACAATGTACACAATATTGTGTTCCCACGCACATACCTACCTACCTACCTACCTATATATTAAGTATATATATTTTTCTCTCTATGCTCGGCCGACCCTCTCGTGACTACTAAACCACCCTGTCACCCTTTCGCGTGTTCCCGTAACTATACTCTAATACGTATGTAAATAATACGCTTGTACACACTCGCCGCTAATACACACCTATATACAGAGTGTCTTACGATGATATGTCAATAGAAATACCTATTGTTCTATTCAATATATTTGATAGAAAATTTTTTTTAATAATAATTGTAGATAAATAACCTAAATTATTTAATGCTAAACTTTGTGTAGTGGATGCACCTATATCTCTATTGTCCTATGACGTCTTTTTTTTTTACCCAGTTATTTTTTCTACACACTCCTAATACTACACCCTGCCAGCTATGTTCAACGATCGAAAACGAGCGGAAAGACGGCGGCGTATTTTATTGTTACATTCACGTCTGGTCAACGACGCCGTATAGGCGGTGTCGGGACTGTATGCACTTAGGAAACCAGTTTGAATTGAGGGTCGGTTGATATAAAAACCACCTGTTACGCTAGAATATAATGGTGTCTATAATAATATATTGGTTTTCCTAGGTTTGTAGGGTGTGGGAACCGAATAAATGAAATAAACGTACACCCATTCCACGTTATATAATATATCCTACAGCTGCGTGTATAAAATAAAAATGTCTGATAGCGTCTGTGAGAAGCATCGCAAGAAAAAAAACGAAAAGACGACGCACACATAAAATTATATTTCATAAAAGCAATACGTTTTGTCAGACAGCCAGTCCGTTTTAAAACATGCATTATGACAACCTGTGTAAGAACCAACTGCCACTATTCCCTTCGTTGTTTTCGTGTCGTGGAGTTACGTCGGCGGACTTGCCGTGGTGGGGGGAGGAATGAGAGAGATCGTATCGGGTGAAGATTTATAAACGCATCTGTTCTTTTCAATAATCTAATATCGGATACCTATAGGAGTTTCGGACGGCACGTTAACTAAAAAAAAAAAAAATGCCGTGAGTAGTACTACGAACTACTTTATGACAATCGATTTTGTTTTCATTAATGAATGTTGATCATAATATGATAAAATGTTCACAGTACTATTTTAAGGCTATTTGTTATTTTTCTATTCATGTCTCTTTTAAGATTTTGAAGAATTCAACAAACATTAAGTTCAAAACTAATAAGAATAACAAGAGGAACTTCGATTCAAATTTAATATTAATCTACGTAATCGCGTACTTCGGTACCTAGCTACATATTACATATGATTTATTGGCTAATGTTTGAAATTAAAACGACTATTATTTAGAAACTATTGATCGGATATGATTATGTGATACATTTAAATTTTTAGAATAATATCTTTTACAAAATGTTTTTAATTTTGAAATTTTATAAAATAAAGTCATTTTTTTCATTTATTAAGGGATGAAAAAATAAATTGTATTTATCTCTACGTATGTGTCCCTGTCAAATATGCTCGAGCTTAAAAAAAAAATAAATATTGACAGAGTTATTAGCATAATTATAACACTGTAGGACACCGCGTATTTATACCAACTGCATGGTTTTCCACGCTTCATTTTCTTAATATTAAATATTNATAAAGTCATTTTTTTCATTTATTAAGGGATGAAAAAATAAATTTTATTTATCTCTACGTATGTGTCCCTGTCAAACATGCTCGAGCTTAAAAAAAAAATAAATATTGACAGAGTAATTAGCATAATTATAACACTGTAGGACACCACGTATTTTTACCAACTGCATGGTTTTCCACGCTTCATTTTCTTAATATTAAATATTATTTTTTCAAAATTATACTTAAGTTACAGGAAGTTAGGCCGACAGTATGTTCACCTACCATCTTATAGTGTACTCGAAAACTTCATAGTTTGTCACCTCATACAAAAGTTCACTGAATAGCAGTAGTGAATTTAAGATACTTCGAACTAAGCGGTCGCATAGAGATGCAACATTTTGTTGAATATTTATTTTGTGTTTATGTATAACAACTACAATTTTTGTTTTAATTATACCATTTCGAAATGTCGATGTGTATCGGTGTATTTAAATTGNCATAACATATGGAAATTATGGGTTTAAAAAATTATTTTTAAATTGCCTGTATTTTTTATTAAATTAAATCAATAAGTATAATAAAAATGTATGTTTATTGTTATTATTATTATTAAAATAAACGTGTTATTTTTTAGCGGTGATTTTTTTCCTATTACCGTTTGTCGTTATTCTTTGAGTAAAGATAAAAATTAAATAATTTTATATATCCTACCTTTCCAACTTTCTCCAGATAACGGTGGCTGCACCCGTACGTAGTATCAGTTTTTTTTTTTGGTTTTGATTCCGTTAATATACAATTTAATACTTGTATTAAGATTCAAATTGTAACCTCAATATTATCAAGGTTTACGAATATACATCCGAAGGTAAGCGTCTCATTTGCCGCCAGAGGGTGCCCTGATTGACTCGAACAAAACAACACGAATCCGTAAACTTATATTTTTTTTGCTATCATAAACTATTAGCGATTGCCGATTTTCTAAAGGTATACAAATGTCTTTTTATTTTAGTTTCTTTTCCTTCATCTGACGTTAAAATATATTGAATCAATTATCGATTTTTTGTTATTTAAACCATATAATAATATGAAAACAAGAAATAAATTAGAATTAGATGTTGGAGGTTATAGAATTAGGTAGACAAATATGGAATAATACAAATATGACAATATTAAATAGGAGTCCTTATTAGACTAAAGATTTTTAAGAATTCAACAAACATTAAGTTCAAAACTAATAAGAATAACAAGAGGAACTTCGATTCAATTTTAATATTATTCGGTGTAATCGCGTACTTCGGTACCTAACTACATAATATATATATATATTATTGGCTAATGTTTGAAATTAAAACGACTATTATTAAGAAACTATTGATCGGACATAATTATGTGATACATTAAAATTTTTAGAATAATATTTTTTACAAAATGGTTTTTTTTTAATTTTGAGAAAATATAATATAAAATCATTTTTTTCATTTATTAAGGGATGAAAATAAAAATTTAATTTATCTCTACGCATGTGTCCCCGTCAAACAAGCTTGAGTTGAAAAAAATAATAAATATTGACAGAGTTATTAGCATAATTATAACATTGTAGGACACCACGTATTTATACCAACTGTATATTTTCCCACGCTTCATTTTCTTAATATTAAATATTATTTTCTTAAAATTATACTTAAGTTACAGGAAGTAAGGCCGACAGTATGTATGTCTACCATGTTATAGAATACTCGAAAACCTCATAGTTTGTCACCTCATACAAAAGTTCACTGAATAGCAGTGGTGAATTTAAGACATTTCGAACTAAGAGGTCGCATAGAGATGCAACATTTTGTTGAATATTTATTTTGTGTTTATGTATAACAACTACAATTTTTGTTTTAATTATACCATTTCGAAATGTCGATCGGTGTATTTCAATTGTGTATTCGTTTAGTTTTAGCAAAATTATATCTATTTTTCTCATGAACTCGTCAATGACAACGACTTTATGCTTTATTATAACTTATTTTATTGATTTTTATTAAAAGTTAAAGATTTGTTAATGTATGCAAATTATTTATAATAGTTACCATCTCGGAGATTATGTTCATAAAACTTTTGTCACTATGGTTAATAAGGAGATATGTTTTCAGAAGAAAGCAATTCAGTATATTGATAGGGGCAGCAAAAATTAATTTACCATAGGGGCGCAAAATTATTAAATCCTGTCCTGCTGAATAGTATTTTTCAAAAAAAAGGTACGTATACTAATAGTAGAAAAAAGGTATATATATATTATGTGAACACATAATAATATTATAATAAGACAATTAGGTAAATCAAATAGTAAAATTATATATTATGATCATATTACTGTTTAAGTATGATTGATTGTGTTATAAANAAATGAATCGTAAAATTATTTTAATTTTGCTGAAAGCTATATCATATTATATACGAATTATTTCGTTTAGTGTTTTCCACCAAAATCGTCGAAATTGGTTCTGTCTATTTCATCCATACTACCTGTGCCATATTTATTATCTTTCCCGACATTGTTTCCTTTAGCTCCATCTAATTTATAAAAAAACACAAATTAATTTCTAGAAACTATAAGGTATAACAAAATCAATTTAAATGTTATTAATAATATAAATACAGTGTTGTAAGTATTCAAATAAAAGTATTTTACAGTATATTACTACTTTATTGTATTTTTTATTCACGGTATAAAAAATATTTTTGTAGTGAATAAACCAATTATATTTTCTAACTTAAAAAAAACCCAGCTTTATATAGGTTGTATTTATGCGATCGAATTACCGTGGTACACGACACTTACGGTGCCTGTGCGTTTTAACCTCTTAGGTGAACATTATTATGTTAGTGGATAGGTAGACGCGAAAAACATATCGAAATAGATTTTATTATGAAATTTCATAGCCAAATTTAACTACTATGAAAATAAAACGAAGAAATGGATTTATTACTCCTCGACCAGATGCTTGTTGCAAAATATTATTAGCAATTTTTTTATTAAAGCAATATTTTTTGGTATTTTAGCTAAATTACATTACAAATACAAAATCAAAAATTATAAAACTGATTATTCCGTGTAAACGTTCTCGTTTTTTCTATGGTTTTCTAGATTACTATGAATACTACTGAGGTGTTTAAAAAAATGCGTATCATTTACCTCAACTAAACGAAATGATCTTTGAGTAATTATGATCAATATGCTATTAATCGTAATAATCGGAGAAACATCTGGTAAACGAAAAAAATTAAAAGAATTTCAAATAATGAAATCGTTAACATCATAAATATAACAATAAATATTTTATTTACATATACGAAAGAAAAATAGCCGATACCGTTTATGGATGTGCCACTACATATAGCCCAAGTATGAGATTAAAAGAAAACAATATTTAATTTGAATATGGTTATGATACTTATAAGTACGGTGACGTACATTTTTGGTAGCATTTTACGGGAGAAAGTCAAAGCAAATAAATTTAAATCGTGTTTTACAACAGTTGCTACATACTACCGATTAAATGAATGGTACCTATATGAAAATTTAATTTTAGTATGGTACTAGAAAATAATAAATTTGTTATTCTTTTATTTATCTTTTTATCTTTTACTCGATTTAAGAGAAAAATAAAAAATACATCTTTAAAAATTATCGTGCGAGATTTGTATGAAATTGTATGTATTATAATAAGTACCTACAAAATTCGTCTTTGTTAAAAAAGTATCACATAAATAATAAATTTTTACCCACTGTATATTTAAAAAAAAAAAAAAACCATCCAAAATTTTCTCTAATCTAAGGTACCGTTATAAAAATCCTTAAATATACAAATTATAAATGTTATAACAGACGTGAAATCATAAGTTTCCGCTATTATAAAAGTTGCTAAAAATATTAATTTATATATTTTTTTTTTCTTTTTAAACCATTTAAATGATGCCCATCAGTTTTTTACGTACGTACCTGTTGTTGACATTGGCGGGTTATTGACTGGCCTAGAAGGCATGCATGGCACGGCGTATGGTATGGCAATTACAATGAGCATCATGACTGCAAATATTTTAACATTGTGAGAATTCATGGTGACCAACGATGTTTTTATATTAAGAATATAAAAAAAATAACAGTTGTAGGTAAAAATGACAAAACAACACTGAGCGTCCGAATCGTTTCGTGGCCGCTTTTATAGGCAGCTACTCGTGAAGAGGTACGTAATATTATTAACACGCGGATAGTGCGGGGGTTGCATTTATTTTTCGTCGTAGGTGGGAGATCGTGGTAGCAAAACGGGNCGTCCGGTTCTTCGGCAGAGACCGCGTTGTCCAAATCGAAATCGTCATCTCATGGAATATAATATACGCATTCCTCGCCGGCAACAACCGAATGTCATAACAATACGACTACGACGACGCGTTATTGTATTTTCCTGGACCGTCGCACATTGTATTCGTGTACTACAGCGTGCGCATAGCTGAAATATGTTTGTCGTCCAGATGTTATTATGTATTACCTATGTACGAATATGTTAGCAGGTTGGCAAAAAGTTTTTCAACGCGCGCCGTTGAAACGGCGTTTAAACGGATTCTCGATGCCATTTTCGCCATCGTTTTCCGTCCGGAACGTATGTATACAATACCCGTACCCGAGATGGTAAACGGGGGGAAGGTGGGTGGGGTGATTAAATGGGACCATTTAATCTTTTTTCTTTTATATCTATAATAACATATATGGGACGATTTTGTAGGCATCTCAGCGTTCACTCCGCGTTTACGGTTAAATCGTGTGTAAATTCAAATTCCGTTATATGCAAAATTTTTAAGCATATAGTGAGAGACGATTTTTTCGAATACTTGGATTTTTCACAATACTTATAATACGAGTATCCTGTGAAACCAACTTTGATTCTTCCAAAGAGAAACTGTACATGTTTCAAATGCAAATTGCCTACCGGATGATTTTACCGAAGATGTTGAAATAAAAATAACAAACTTTGTTCATTGAAAATAATAAACGTATTATTTTCGTAAATTTGATTGGTCTTAAAAGTACTGCAAAGTAAATCAAAGAACGACTTTAAAAACTACTTACCAAGTAGATCCCAAATTCAACAAAACATGCTTCCTGTCGTTTTTATGGAAAAAACAAAATTTCTGGTAGAAAATATCGTGTGTACAAATTTAGAATAATGAAATCGTACACCATAAATTTGTTTGTTTTTCATTTTTCATCTTTTTTCGGTTTTCCAAATTATTGTGAATAATAGGTACTTGGAAAATTAAAAAATACTTGAATTTAGAAAAAAACCGTTAAGTAAAAAATGACGAAGGTAAAATACGACAAGGGGAAAAAAATGTCAAATGCGTTTCACTTAATAATCACAGGCATTAGTTTTAAGTCAATTAAAGTAAATAATAAAAAATATTAATAAATCATAAATATCTTGTACTATAATATGCTAGAACTAATAAAACTTTTGGTATATCTCTTTGTATACTCGTATTCTTCACGTAATTTTTTGAGTTTATTCTGTAATTCTACATAGATTTTTATTTCATTTATTTTTTTTATAGATCATGCACAAGCGTACTTTCGGAATTCCGTTTTTCTACCGTTATTCTATGTATAAATTAATTTTAAGTACGTTTATGAGACAATGATGTGACGATGAAATTACGTACAAGACAATTGAACAAATTTAAGACATATAAAAGTTGGCCTTTTAATTGAGAGTGCACATACAATTACAAATATCAATATATTCATTGAATTTGCGATACAATAATAAAAAAATACCTATGTCCTATGTTTTTGTTTTATAGTATNTAAACAATTTTTTCGGTATCATTTATTATATTACAAAGAGTTAAGAAAAATGTAATAAAATACCTAATTAACTTTTATTATTAAATACAATTACAAAAATGATTTTAATTTGATAATGTAATTTATTAAATTTGTTGCTAATAAAGATTTAATAATTCCTCTGTTTAAGGAAAAAAAGCGTTTTTATCGTTTCTTAAATTTTCGATGCCGATGTAACATACAATACCTGTCCATATCATATTGCATGTTGTTGGAATAATATTTTTAGATTCGGAACGTGGTGAGGAATGTTTTGGTTTCACTATATGTGTTTTTTTTTTCTGTCTATAAACGAATTTAATGTTAAAAATTTTGCTTCGATCAAAAAAACGACAAAAGATTTTTTTTGTAACATTTTTGAATATCGACGACAACCATACAAACTATTTCAATTAAACATTAAAAACCGAATTTCGCTCAGAATTTTTTTTCAGCATATTTGGTCCATCATTTGTTATCGTACTACCCTTTGGCTCCAGAGAATATTTTTGACAATAAAAAACTACCAAAAGTAACAACAACCCTATATGAGAAGAAAAAGTATGTTTTACATTACCCTAACCTTAGGCTATATTTAGGCTTAGTTTTGAAATTAGAGAGAATATACAGAGTAATAGAATTTGTCCAAAAAGATTGGTTAAGACCTTATATTGAATTCAACACGAATGCAACGTGCAAATACAGATGACGAGTTTTTAAAGGATTATTATAAATTAATGAACAATAGTGTGTTTGGAAGAACCATGATGAATACAAGAAACTTCAGAGATTTAAAAATAATAAGTGACGAGAAATATGTGTCCAAACCAAATTTTGACCGGGCTACTATTTTTACAGAGAACTTAGTGGCCGTATATATGAAAAAAACCGAGGTTAAATTAAACAAACCCATTTATTTAGGTATGTGTATTTTAGACATGTCTAAGGTTCGAATGTACGATTTTTATTATAACACACTAAAGAAAACATATGGGAAAAACATTAGATTATTATACACAGATACAGATTCTTTAATAGTAGAAATTACCACTGAGGATTTTTACACAGACGTGAAAAATAACGAACAACTTTTAAACGAGTTTGACTTCTCAGAGTATCCAGAGAATAATAAGTACGGACTACCCCGAATAAATAAGAAAGTTCCGGGTAAGTTCAAGGACGAATTTAACGGGAAAATTTTGAGCGAGTTTTTTGGGTTAAGATCTAAATTATACGCATTTAAATTATTTGAGAACGAGCACGAAGTTAAAAGAGCAAAAGGAGTGAAAAAACCTATTGTTAAGAATGAGTTATGTTTCGACGACTTTTATGAGTGTTTAATAACTAGAGATCCAAAGTATGTAAAACAGAACACATTTAGAACAGAGAACCACGAAATTTCCACGGTCAAACAGAAGAAGAAAGCTCTAAGCGCGTATGACGATAAAAGGTATATATTAGAAAACGGAATTGACACTGTGGCTTGGGGAAATTTTTCAACAAAAATAGAGAGAGAAAAATTCAGAGAATACCTAGATAATTTAATCAGAACAAACAATAAAAAAGAATAAATTATATTATTAATAATAATAAAAATATATTATATTTTACCAGATAATTTCGCGAGTTCTATGTAAAACACATAATTTTGTACTTTAAACTATTATAATAATATAATATTATCTATAGTTTTTTAATAGCTAAAAACCTCACAGTATTGAAGTAATAAATAATCTAATTCGTAAAATTCCTTTTTTATCCTGTGATCTAAGAGCTCTCGTACAGACGCAACATTTTCTATACCAAACTTTTTTATAATATTATATTGCAACTCTTTAAGTATACCTATGTTGTTTTTTTCTGCCCAGATAGAAATACCATATTGTAAGTGAGATTGAACAAACGCACAATAAACAGATTTTTTAAAACCACGGTTTAACGTAATATTTAGTGCAGATAGTGTTCTTTTTATTTTAGAGATAATTCCCTCTATATGCGCATTCCACTTTAACTCCCGATTTATGGTACACCCTAGATATTTGTACTGGTTTACTATTTCTAAAGGGACACAATTACAATTCTCGCTATTATTACAGAAATATTCGTGGATTATTAATTTTTTACTTTTATCTATATCTACAGAGAAGTCCATAAATTATGTTTTGAGAAGTTTGTTGTTAAAAAGTGACGATTTAATCTGGTCAAAACTTGAAAGTGTATGCACAGACGGTGCTCCATGTATGATAGGTAAAAATATTGGTTGTGTAACACTATTGGAGGAGTTTTTGAATAGAAATTTAAATAAATATCACTGTATTATACACCTAGAAGCCTTATGCGGCAAAATTTTAAAATTTGATCATGTATTAAAACCAGTATCTCGATGTATAAACAAAATAGAAGCTCGGCCTTTAAATCATCGATTATTCAGAACTCTATTTGAAGACGCCAATAACGAATCTGGTGAACTATTATTATTTTATGAAGTAAGATGGCTTGCAAAAGGAAAAGCATTAGAAAGATTTTGGAATCTAAAAGACGAAGTTATTGAATTTTTAGAAAAAAATAATGAAATTTAAATAAATATCACTGTATTATACACATAGAAGCCTTATGCGCCAAAATTTTAAAATTTTATCATGTATTAAAACCAGTATCTCAATGTATAAACAAAATAAAAGCTCGGCCTTTAAATCATCGATTATTCAGAACTCTATTTGAAGACGCCAATAACGAATATGGTGAACTATTATTATTTTGTGAAGTAAGATGTCTTGCAAAAGGAAAAGCATTAAAAAGATTTTGGAATCTAAAAGACGAAGTTATTGAATTTTTAGAAAAAAATAATGAATTGCCTGATGAATGTGAACTACTGAAAGATAAAAATTGGTTAATAAACCTTGCATTTTTAACTGATATTCTCGGACATTTAAATATGCTCAATAAACGACTCCAAGGCGAAAGAANACGAAGTTATTGAATTTTTAGAAAAAAATAATGAATTGCCTGATGAATGTGAACTACTTAAAGATAAAAATTGGTTAATAAACCTTGCATTTTTAACTGATATTCTCGGACATCTACACTGTAGATCTAATAGTTTGGTCATATTCGACGACTGTATTTTGGAAAAACAATCCATAATGAAAGAATATTTTATACGGGGTAGACACAAAAATATTTCAAGTATTTATTTAACACAGAGTTATACCGCAGTAGATTTGAAAATTATAAGGAATAATTTGAATTTTGTTATTATTTTTAAACAGTCTGACCACTATATAAAGAAAATTTGGGAGGATTTTATAAGTGACATTGGGCTGTTGCTTTTTTCTGCCCAGACAGAAATACCATATTGTAAGTGAGATTAAAAAAACGCACAATAAACAGATTTTTTAAAACCATGGTCTAACGCAATATTTAGTGCAGTGTTCTTTTTATTTTAGAGATAATTCTCTCTATATGCGCGTTCCACTTTAACTCCCGGTCTATGGTACACCCTAGATATTTGTACTGGTCTACTATTTCTAAAGGGGCACAATTACAATTCTCGCTATTATTACAGAAATATTCATGGATTATTAATTTTTTACTTTTATCTATGTCTACAGAGAAGTCCATAAATTGCGTTTTTGAGACGTTTAAAGATAATTTGTTTTCTATTAATCAATTTTTGATCTTAAAAAGATCCTCGTTAGTTTTTTCATATAATTCTTGTGCACTGTCCCCTTCCACTATAAGAGCCGTGTCGTCTGCAAAAAGTACTAAGTTCCCGTTTAATTTAATTTCCGTTATATTGTTAATATAAATTATAAACAACAAGGGACCAAGACACGTTCCTTGTGGAACCCCACAATTTATTATTTTCTTTTCACTGTGTATTTTACCTATTTTTGTGCAACACGTTCTGTTTCGTAGGTATGTTCTAAATAAGTCCAACAAAATTCCCCTTATACCTACGTTCTCCAACTTTGGTAACAAAATATTATGGTCTACTGTGTCAAAAGCTTTTTTTAGATCTAGAAAAACAACAAGCTTGTTTTTTTTTATTTGTTTTTATATCAGAAATTAATTTAGATATAGCGTCTTCTGTACTNTCGTAGGTATGTTCTAAATAAATCCAACAAAATTCCCCTTATACCGATGTTCTCCAACTTTGCTAACAAAATAATATGGTCCACTGTGTCAAAAGATTTTTTTAGATCTAGAAAACCTACAAGCTTGTTTTTTTTATTTGTTTTTATATGAGAAATTAATTTAGATATAGCGTCTTCTGTACTTTTCTTTTCTCGGAAACCAAATTGCGAATTGGACAACAAATTATTTTTATCCAAGAAACTCACAATTCTCGTATATATACATTTTTCGAAAATTTTTGCAATGTTAGAAATAAGAGAAATTGGACGGTAATTATTAGGGTCCTGTTTATTTCCGCTATTTTTATATATTGGTACAATTTCTGCATTTTTAAACACGTCTGGAATGTAATTTTCCTCAATAAACTTATTAAACAAATACGACAAAGGCTCAGAAATTTTGGAACGTTTGGATTTTAAGAACTGTACACTAACTTTGTCTGGACCAGGAACAATGTTATTTCTGAGAGAACAAACATTATTTATAATTTCAAAAGGTGTTATAGGCTCAAAATAAATAGAGTTAACAAAGTTATTAGTTTTCGTTTTAATATTTGGAGAGGGAATTTTTGAGGCAAGATTTTTACCCACGTTTATAAAGTGGTCGTTTAATATGTTACAATTTGTATCCGGTGCTATGTTTTTTTTGTTAATTTTTAGGTACCTTTTTAGGAGCTCCCATTTTTCTTTAGTATCGGAAAAAGACTTAATTTGGTTTTTAAAATAACTTTCCCTGAGTATTTTTATATAATGTTTAATCTTAGATTTATACACTAAATATCTGTCCAAAAATTCATTAGACTTATTTTTTTTCCTAAAGAGTTTATTACGAATTTTTATTGAACNTTACTATACCGTTCGTTGAGGTTCATTCCAAAAGTCTTGTTCTTTTTCTCAGCCTCTGCAAATTAGCTTGGACGGGCTCAGAGTGGTTTCCCATGGTTTAGTGTCAATTCACTATTATATGGGAAAACGCACAGAGGAGCGTGTCAGGTTTGTTGTTATTTCTCTGGGCAAGAACGAGTGACTGGTCCAAATAATTGTGAAACGCTACTAGGATGTTGAACATTGTGTGGGTATAGAGATAAGGACTGTATTCCGTATTGTTAGAACGACCTAGTTTTTATATCTAAATACATATGTAGGTATTTATTATAGATTATATTCTTTTAACTCAATTTGCAATTTTCCCCGTAGACTTAAACATATATATAGGTGAGTGTTTGTTCCATGACGCATTTTTTCCAGAGAACTTACTACGGGTATCTGTGTTGAAAATTTGTATTAAATATATTGAATATTAATTTTATGTGTATATTTTTTGAGACTCTAGACTCAGGAAGCTCAAAGTGTCAATTCAATTTCACAACGCAAATGAAAAGGCGAAATTTATCTGGTTTTTTATTATTAGTTTTGTTAAATATTGTTAAAAATTTACTGTTCAAACTCTGTTCAAATTCTGTTCAAAATTTACTGTTCAAACTCTGTTAAATAGAGTTGGGCCAGAATTGGCAAATACATACTACTTACGTGTATCAAACTTCCATAATCAAACTGCTTATTATTTTTAGAACTCTGGATTGTTTAAAAGTTGCTGGAGTTCCCATGTCTTCACATTATCTTTGGGCAGTTTTTTATGATAACACAAACCCCTTTTCTCTAAAAATATTTAAAAAAATCTTTATGACCACTGAATAACTTAAAAGCATTACTCATTTTCATACTTTTGTTCCGAAGACATTAACTTTATTTATAGTAGATTGTAGTACATACCAAATAACAACACTTAATGAAATCATAAGAAAATTGAATAACATGTTACGCGATAAGAAATCACAAACAGCATGGTACGGTTAGAAGAAAAGATTATCTCAGTAGAAAAGGAAATCTTCTAAATGCACCAACTAGATAAAATGTTCATTCAGAAAAGGTACTACATTCTATACAGCAAGGCAAGATATTTTTTCGGAAAGTTGTTTACAAACAGAAAAAAACATAATTTTAAAAACACATCAAAAATTTACTGTTCAAATTCTGTTAAAAATTTACTGTTCAAACTCTGTTAAATATTGTTAAAAATTTACTGTTCAAACTCTGTTAAATATTGTTAAAAATTTACTGTTCAAATTCTGTTAAAAATTTACTGTTCAAACTCTGTTAAATATTGTAAAGAACTTACTGTTCAAACTCTGTTAAAAATTGGTTGTCCCAGAATCGGCAAATACATACTACTTTCATCCCTTCATATGTCCTACAAAGTGATCAATGTAAAGTAAGACACGCATTATCTCGGAAAGTATTAACTTTTTCGTTTTTTAGAAAATTTAATAATTTAATTTAATTTTGTTTATACAATTTTAAATTGTGGTTATTTTTTTCGCCCTTATTTTTAGGGGTGAAACCACTGTCAACTTTTGATTTTCAAATAACAACGT